GTAGATTTGGCATTTAAAACTAAGACTTGGCAATAGAATGCTAGGTTAAAAAAATGAAACATTCTATGGCTTTTTCTAAGAGTCTCTTTTGAGTAGATACAATCCCATAAACAATTTTCTCAAACTACTGCTTTTGGAAGTCTTGTCCACTTCTACCCACGGGTTTAAAAACAATAAAGGACAGTTGGATTGTTTTTGCCTGTGTAAATATAGAAGGCTAGCATGAAACAAAGCCTCTGGAGATGAAAGTATTTTATCTTTTGGCTTAAATTCAACACTGCTTCTGAATGGGTTCTATTATGTCTGTTTCTGTCTTTTGTACTGCATTACATTGCCAGAGAGGATACATTTCTCTCTAATAATTAGTACCTTTCCTTTTATCTGTTTGTACTTGGCACTATGATTAACTGTACTTTGTTTCCCTGGGTGTCACTAGTTACTAAGTTTTCTTCCATCTCTCCTCATTTTTAACTCTTTTCTTCTCCTATTTTGCTTCTCTTTCTTATTCTACCTAATTGGAGGCAGTGAGGCAAAAAGGTACAAAAAACAACAGACTGAAGTGATTACAATCTACCAGTCACACCTGACTGCAACCAAGTATACTTTTGCACGAGGTTGCTGGCAATTCATTGCTTTTGCCAGCAGTCACACACACACACACACACACACACACACACACACACACACACACACGTCTTTTGCTGTACTTGTCAAATGCCAACCTCAGCTCAATGATCTTATCTGCTCTTTCCACACTTAAATCGAAATCACAGCATTAGTATATCAAAAATAAGACCAGACCAAACACTGTCTAAGATGTTTAGCCAGTCCCAGCACCAAAAACATCTTATGCCAAAGGACTCTCTAACCATCTCCATCAACCTGCTATCTTTGGGCTGATCTAAAAGCATGCTTCTTCTTTGTCCTCACATGAAAATTCGTATTTGCTGGTCTTTCCTACTCTCATCCCCCTCTATTCCTTTGCACTTTCTTATTCCTGTTCTGCCATAACTGACTCCAACTCCCACCCCAATCCTTCCGGGGTTCGTGCCCCGGTCCAGGAAGATCCCACATGCTGTGGAGCGGCTGGGCCCGTGAGCCATGGCCGCTGAGCCTGCACGTCCGGAGCCTGTGCTCCGCAACGGGAGAGGCCACAGCAATGAGAGGCCCGCGTACCGCAAAAAAAAAAAAAAAAAAAAACTACAATGAGATATCATCTCACACCAGTCAGAATGGCCATCATCAAAAAATCTAGAAACAATAAATGCTGGAGAGGGTGTGGAGAAAAGGGAACCCTCTTGCACTGTTGATCGGAATGTAAATTGATACAGCCACTATGGAGAACAGTATGGAGGTTCCCTAAAAAACTAAAAATAGAACTACCATACGACCCAGCACTCCCACTACTGGGCATATACTCTGAGAAAACCATAATTCAAAAAGAGTCAAGTACCAAAATGTTCATTGCAGCTCTATTTACAATAGCTAGGACATGGAAGCAACCTAAGTGTCCATTCAACAGATGAATGGATAAAGATGTGGCACATATATACAATGGAATATTACTCAGCCATAAAAAGAAACGAAATTGAGTTATTTGTAGTGAGGTGGATAAACCCAGAGTCTGTCATACAGAGTGAAGTAAGTCAGAAAGAGAAAAACAAATACTGTATGCTAACACATATATATGGAATCTAAGAAAAAAAAAAAAAGGTCACGAAGAACCTAGTAGCAAGACAGGAATAAAGATACAGACCTACTAGAGAATGGACTCGATGATATGGGGAGGAGGAAGGGTAAGCTGTGACAAAGTGAAAGAGTGGCATGGACATATATACACTTCCAAACATAAAATAGATACCTAGTGGGAAGCAGCCGCATAGCACGGGGAGGTTAGCTCGGTGCTTTGTTACCACCTAGAGGGGTGGGATAGGATGGTGGGAGTGAGGGGGATGCCAGAGGGAAGAGATATGGGAACATATGTATATGTATAACTGATTCACTTTGTTATAAACCAGACACTAACACACCATTGTAAAGCACTTATAATAAAGATGTTAAAAAAAAAACAAAAAACAAAAAAACCAAGGGGGACTTTGAATTGATGTGCAGTGTAAATTTTTTTCAAAAGATATATCTTTATCATAAAGTGTAAAAATGAATGCAACTTTTAACAAGAGGAAAAACAAAAACAAAATCGGGATAAACCATCTACCTTTGGCCTTGACCCAATTTTCTCCACTCTTCTCGAGGACAGTTCAGCCACCTCTTCTGTCTCATCTGCACATCTATTCAAACCTTTTCTATTCTTAAAGAAGAACAAAACAAAACAAAAACTCTGAAAGTTTCTATTCCATTGGCTTCTGGGAGTATTTTTGTGTACTCCTTTATTTTACCAGGTCTTCAAATGTTGGTAGGTCACAGGGTTTTATCCTTAGGCCACTACTCCTCTGGTCTACGTGCTCTTTTCAGATATCTCACCTACTCTTGTAAATCAACTGCTACGTAAATGCTGATAACCTCCAAATCCATAATACACTGTTGGCCTCTCCCCTGAGTTTCAAACTTGCTGGACACTGTCAGCCAGACTGACCAAGAGGCAGCTCAAACTCAACATATTCAAAACTGAACTTACCTACATTCCCTCCTAAATGGCCCTCTTCTAGAGTTCTCTGATTCAGTTGGTGGCATCATATAATCAATCATTGAAACTAGAAACCCAAAGTCGCCCACAACTACTCTTCTCTCACCCCCCAACAATCACTCAAGAAGTCCTCCCTATTTTACCTCCTGAATATTTCTCACACTGCTCTCCTCTTCACCCTATAACAATGTCATAATGGTTCAAGACCTCTGCCATAGTTTCTGCAACACATTTTTCCCCACCTTACAGAATAAAATGTAAGAATAACACAAGGCCACTGCCTATTTTTCTAGGTTCATTTGGCATTATTCCTAGCACCAAATTTATGTTTTAGCAAGCAATAAACTACCCAGTTCCTGACCTATGTATCACAGTATTCTTGCCTCTGAGCTTTTGCTCATACTGTCTCCTCTGCTATTGCCTTTCTGTCCTTCCTCCTGAAACTCCTCCTTATCATTAAGAGGAGCTCAGGTGCTATATTCTTTAGGAAGCTCTTCCTGAAACTACCTTTCTTCCTTTAAGGTTAGGTGCCCCTCTTCTGTACTCTCATTTACCTTGTTCTTTCTATGTATTGTACTTCCCACACAGTGTTATAAGTATTTGTATTTTCTATGTATTGTACTTCCCACACAGTGTTATAAGTACTTGTATATGTCCCTCTTCTCTACTGATCTCTGTAGCTCAGAGCCTAGCCTACAGTCTGACAAACCGCAAGTAATCAACAGATATTTATTTAATGGTTTAATAGATGGAGAAGAAGCAGAGGGGATTTTTGTTGGGAGTAAGAGGAACAAACCTGTCAGCCCCAGGCTTCTGAACTTCAGAAAAATTGTTAACTCCAGCTCAACTCCACAAATCAATCTCTGGTGTTGTTATCAGATACGAGAAAAGACCAAGGATGAACAGAGAGAAGATGAGAAAAGAAAAACACAGATTTTGTAGTTAGACAGATAAATCTCCCCACCAAAGATGTCCACATCCTAATCCCCAAAACCTGTGAATATATTAACTAAAATGGTTAGTTAGAAAGAACCCTCCAGATGTGATTAAATTAAGGATCTTGCAGTAGGAGATTATCCTGGATTATACAAGTGGGACTAATGTAATTACAAGGGCACTTATAAAAGAAAGAGAGAGGGAGGAGAGTCAGAGTCAGACAAGGAGAGGTGACTATGGAAGCAAAGTTCAGAGTGACGCAACTGCTGGTTGGGGGCCATAAGCCAAGGAATGTGGGCAGTCTCAAAGCTGGAAAACCCAAGAAAATAGATTCTCCCTTACAGCCTCCAGAAGGATTGCAACTGATATCTTGATTTTAGCCCAGAAAAACCCATTTTAGACTTCTGACCTCCAGAACTATAAGATAATAAATTTGTATTGTTTTAAGCCACTAAGTTTGTGGTAGTTTGCTATGGCAGCAATAGGAAAATAATACAAAAGTGTATAAAATGAGATAAATAATACCTACAAAATTGCCTCAAAATATGAACTCGAATTACCACAGAATATAGCAGAATTCATTGTTGTTAACTGTCTAAAAGTTTACACATAGAGCCACATATAAATAAATAAAAGGACTGTCTGGATATAAAATGATAATTTATAGGATAATTTGATAATCTTTTAAAGATGGATATGACTAACCAAAGTAGCTCTAGTTTTAAAGAACCATGATTTTTTTTCTAATAAATTTATTTATTATTTATTTTTGGCTGTGTTGGGTCTTTGTTTCTGCACACAGGCCCCTCCCTAGTTGTGGCGAGTGGGGGCCACTCTTCGTTGCGTTGTGCAGACTCCTCATTGCTGTGGCTTCTCTTGTTGCGAAGCACGGGCTCCAGGCACTGGGGCCTCAGCAGTTGTGGCACACGGGCTTCAGCAGCCGTGGCTCATGGGCCCCAGAGCACAGGCTCAGCAGCCGTGGCACACGAGCTTAGTTGCTCCACGGCATGTGGGATTCCCCTGGACCAGGGCTCGAACCCATGTCCCCTGCACTGGCAGGTGGACTCCCAACCACTGTGCCATCAGGGAAGTCCCCAAAGAACCATGGTTTTAAGGGAAGTAGTATGAAGGACTTATGTTAAATGTTAAGTGATTTAAAAAGGGATTTTGATAAGCAATCCAAAAGACATGATATTTTTCACTTCCATGACATATAAATATAAAAGCAATAAAAATGAGAGTCTTATTTGTTATAAGATCTGACTTTTTAAATATGGAAGCACTACCTACAGAATTGGCATATTTGCATTATTTCTCCCCCAAACTCACACACACACATATGTCAAGATAACTAGAAAATATGTATTAATATCTACATAAATTTATTATAAATCTCATGGGCAGAGTTCAAACAACTTACTTTCCTTTGTCCTTCAACCATTCTGGGTTCTTTTCCTCTTCTTTTAAATCACAAAGTTCAGGAATGTCAGTATTCACTGCTCTTCGTGCCTCTGCTTGTTTATGTAGCCACTGAAATGAGAATGAAGTTTAATGACGGACACAAAAGTCTTGTTTTATTAAAAGTTACTTTTAGATTTTCCATCTTCCTATACAAGATGGAAATACTATTTCTTATGGACTGAATGTTTGTGTCCTCCAAAATTCATATGTTGAAGCCCTAATCACCAATGTGATGGTATTTGGAGATGGGGCCTTTGGGCGATAATTAAGCTTGGATGAGGTATGAGGATGAGACTCCCATCGTAAGATTAGTGTCCTTATAAGAAGAGGAAGAGACCAGAGGGCATGCTGGCACCCCACCCCACCCCAGCGCCCTGACCTTGGACTTCCCAGCCTCCAGAACTGTGAGAAGTAATTGCCTGTTCTTTAAGCCACCCAGTCTATGTACTTTGTTATAGCAGTCTGAGCAGACTGATAAAATAATTGATGGTGGTGATTTTAAACTTCTAGTTTTTATACATCTTTAAGCTTTTTTTTAAACTTCACTAGCTGATTAAGATCAAATGTATAAAAATTTCTAGTCCAAATTTCATCCAAATTTCTGGGAGTTCATGTGAATATTGTTTTATTTTTCTTGTTTATAATGTATATATATATATTTTACATTATAAAAATATATAAATGATTTTTAAAATTATAATTTTATAGTTACAGAGATACTTTTATAAATAATAAAATATAGAAATATGCTGTTAATAAGAAAAAAATTAATATTTATTAAGTGTCATTATATCTTAAGGAGATTCAATTATTTCCACAACTTATCAATTGAGGTATCAGTTCACACCTTATAGTAAAAAAAAAAAAAAAGCAGTTCTTAGTGCTTACACAACTAAATATACAATATTCAAAATCCCAGAGCTCAGGAATTTATAAATGAATGAAAGATATTAATGCCAAATGTCACATTAGAAATACTTGATATTAATAATTAATTGTAATAAAATAATAAATTTACAAATCTTTTCTTACCGCGACATACACTGACCCAAAGTTTACAAATCTATTATGGAAAATGATGTATTTGATAAAATAAATGCACATGCAACATTTTATCTCCTGGGATAAGCAACAACACTGGACATTAAACCAGTGTTTTCTCATCAGCATTCTGGAGCCAAAAAAGAAATAAAAATCCTGCAAAATATATTTTTCTCAAAAGGAAATATTAAATTTTTTCATGAAGTAATATCTTTAGCCTAATGAATACTTTAAAAATTCAGACCCAGTAACAGTAACAGTTTCAATATATGGAATAAAAAATATTTTCATTGTGGTCACTGTAACTAACAGCAAGTATACCAACCTCCTCTTCTGCTGCTACCTGTGATTCCCGGAGAGCAGTTGGGAATACTCGAGGGGTAAAGTTGATTTTAATATTGCCGACAGAGCGAGGAGCAGGAATACTGTCTTCCTTTAACTTCTCAAAAAATATAATTTCTGAATTTCTCCCTTCAAAAACAATATTAGCAACTAAGTTATTTATCTCTCATTTCCTAGTTAACAAACTGACTTTTACGGTAATTACAGATTAAAGCTACTTCTAAAATCCTAAACAAGTAATCCAAACATATTTTCTACAATAAGGCATGTAAAATCCCTCATTGAAATTATGGCAGCTACTTATCTGTTCTTTCAATGACCTCAGCTACTTTTCTGGGGTTCTCTTTGTTAAACCACACAGTGTCTAACTTACATTCACTATAGAGGAAGCCACTCTAGGCAACTTAATCTACATCAACTCTAGAGGAGGGCACCTAGGCAAAGCCATCATTTTCCTTAAGCTCTGATATCAGTATCTTCTATAAGCTCCCTGGTGATGATTTAAAAGTTTTTCAGCTATTAAAGACAGCTAATGGGAACAGGCAAAGAGTTGTAATGAAAGGCCATACGTTTGTATAAAGGTAGTTAGATGTAATAATTATTAAGTCAATATAAGAGAAGAAATTAATCTATATGTTAGAATATAAACTATATGAATAAAGGGAAGGAAGGGTACTAAAAAGGAAAAGTACTAAAAACATGATATACAGATTTAAAAGGCAAATATCAAAATTGTTTAAAAAAAGATTTTCCAGAAACATGACAGAGAGTTAATATCCTTGATATAAAATGAACACACAAAATTAAGATATAAAACTTCCAATTTAGGGAACTGGAAGTGATGCAGTGGTTAAGAATCTGCCTGCCAATGCAGGAGACAGGAGTTCAAGCCCTGGTCTGGGAAGATCCCACATGCTGCAGAGCAACTAAGCCCGTGTGCCACAACTGTTGAAGCCCATGCGCCTAGAGCCTGTGAGTCACAACGAAGAGTAAGCCCCACTTGCCGCAACTAGAGAAAGCCTGCACACAGCAACAAAGACCCAACTCAGTCAAAAATAAATAAATTTATATATTTTTTAAAATGTCTGAAAAAAAGAGAGAAAATTTAAAAAAAATAAAACTTCCATTTTAAAGAAAAATTGAAAATGGCATGAATTAACATTTCAAAGGGAGGGAGGAGGGGAGCAAGAAAGAAAGAATAAGGACTCAAACAAAGAAAGTAACTTCAACAAAGTTCAGCCTCCCTTAAGAGTGGTGTAGTTATGTGCCAAACCTGAGACAACAGAATATGAATATAAGTGCTGTATAAAACTTATGGATCATTATCTTACATGTAAATCTACTTGCAATGGACTTCCTCTTTCCCCTACCCACTGGCTAAAAAACAATGCCAACTGCAGCATCCACCTTGGACACAGAAATGGAAGCCAAATGATGTGATGATATATGTGACCCCACCAGCTTAGATGGCCCCGTGGAACAAAGCCATCTATCAGGCCTAGATTGATTGCTGTTACATAATAAGTCTTAGATTACAGAGAATTCAATTTCTATCTTATTTGATCTATAACTTTGGACCTTTATTTCAGCAGTTAGCTTGAACCTACCTAACACAATGTCCTAAGAATTTTATAGCCTGGTAAACTGTTGTTCACTTGTGAAGCCAAGAGACATTCCTAGATATGTAAGAACTAAGTAAATATACCATCTAGCCATGTTTTCTGAATTACTCAAAGAAATGTTCCAGAACATGGACAAATAAAATTAAGAACTCAGGAGTGGGAAACCTGAGGGTAAAAATGAAAAAGGATGGGTTTTCTAAAACACACGAAAGTATGTTGTAAGATTTTTTAATGTTACTACAACAGAAGGAAAACAGAATAAAAAGTAAAAATGAAGTATATAAGTTCACATTTTATACTAATGATTACTAGGATACACAACATGGAGGGAATAAGCACTATTCTTCCATAATGAGAAATTTAAAAATTACTTTGCTATTAATTTTGTTAAACAAAAGTAAATGAATAAACATTTGAAAATGCTTATGGAAATCATTATGGTGACCATGAGTTACATTAAAAATAGGATATCTAGCTTTCAAACTCTTACAGTAAAATAAGACAAACAGAAAAACATAAAAAGAAATTAGCTTTCTGTTTTCAGCAGCATAGGTTAAAGTTTTTACAAACTTTAACAAGCAATTTTACAAGCAGACAAAATGCTATGAACACATAAAATGCTTGATAAAAATATAACAAATAAACAAAAGTTTCAAGTACATAGTTCAGTTCAAAACCTATGCAAAAGAAAAGCCTTATCAGCAATTTATAGCCAGGGTAATCTCAAAAGCTGACAAAAAGCTATTTGGAAAGATTTCAGATATAGATATAGATATCTATATAGGTATACCTATGAAGGTATATATCTATATATCTATCTAGATATCCATATCTGTATCTGAAATTTTATATATATGAATATATTATATATTATACATATATATATTAGAGACTATATATAAAGGATAAAGACTGGAAATTTAATGCTGATATAGGTACAGAGGTGAAAGCTGAGAATGCAATTACAGCCTGAGAAGGGCTACACTCTCAGTGAAATGGACACATAAAATCTCTGTCCACAACTCCAAGAAAGTGAAGCATGTCTCCTCCTGGGGCTCTGGATAAGAGAAGAAAAAACGTCTCTCGTGAGAAACCTAAACTTCGGGTATCCCTTCCGAGTAATTCTACTTCTGCAAACCAGTACACATGAAATTTCCTCATATGCACACATAAAAATAATCCGTGCTGAAGATGAGCACACAAACAAAAACTACAGATCACATGCAGATACAATGTATGTTTCTTCCTTACAGTATGGAGAACAGTCAGCAGACACAACAAACAGGAGGACTGGCCTATTAAGAATCTGAAATACCAGAACAATCTGAAAGAGACTATAATAATTTAAAACATGCTTACTTAAAGAGCTAAGATAGGCTAAAATACATAATGAAAAACTAAGGTAATGAAAAAAGAACAAACAGGTATGAAAGAAGCAAACAGAACTTGCAAAATGAAAAATATTATCCCTGAAATTGAAAACTTCTAGGACAAGTTTAACAGCACATTAGGCATATTTGAAGAAAATTTGCAAACTAGAAGACAGATCTGAGGATATTATACAGAACGCAGCCAAGGAAGATAAAGGCAATCTGAAAACAATTTGCTATTTGAAAACAATAGCTTATAACTTCCCAGAACTGAGGTAAGACATATGTTCTTTGAGTGAAATTATACTCCAACTTCTGATATTATGAGATGAATAAATATAAAACTGCACTTAGAGTAATAAAATCAACATATACCAAAGTGAAGAATTTTAAAGCAACCACAGACAAAGGATGGATTTACCTTATAAAGGATCAATACTAAATCAAGAGCAGACTTCCCAGCAGCAATATTAAAAGTCAGAAGACAATAGACATATCTTCAAGTTACTGATGGAAAATAACTGTCAATCTTGAATTCTACAACCATCTAAAACATCACTGAATAACAATAACAAAATAAAAATAACTGAACTTAACATTCAAATCTTTATTAAAGAACTACTAGACAGGTATAAAGACGCAGACGTAGAGAATGGACTTGAGGACATGGTGGGGGGAAGGGTAAGCTGGGACGAAGTGAGAGAGTGGCATGGACTTATACTACCAAATGTAAAATAGACAGCTAGTGGGAAGCAGCTGCATATCACAGGGAGATCAGCTCAGCTCAGTGACCACCTAGAGGGGTGGGATAGGGAGGGTGGGAGGGAGATGCAAAAGGGAGGAGATATGGGGATATATATATATGTATAACTGATTCACTTTGTTATAAAGCAGAAACTAACACACCACTGTAAAGCAATTATACTCCAGTAAAGATGTTTAAAAAAATTTAAAAACTACTAAAGGATTTACTTAAAGGAAAGGTAATTGGATCCAGAAAGAACTTAGATGCAAGAAGCAAAGGTAATTAAAAAGCAGTAAATATGGGTCAACAGAAATAGTAATGAGTATATGTGGTAAAGCCACACTAACAACTAAATATAGAGGTTTAAAAATAAGGTGAGATCAGTTGAGTCCCTCCCACCAAAGAAGTGGAATGAAATCTTTAGACAGTAACATAGAGGATGGGTACGACTGAAGTTCATGTATTAAATTTCCTTCTAATATTTACAAGTAATGGTAGAGATTAAATTTTGTTTAGTATGCACATTAAAAATAGAATTGTAATTATATCTATGTATCAAAACAGTTATAAAAAATTTAATATTGATCATTCAGAGAACAAAAATAGAATGTATACCTTTCAAATTAGTACAAAGGAAAGGATGTAATTAAGAAAAATTATTTAATCCAAGGCAGAAAAATAGAAAAAAGAACAAAAAAGCCTGGTAAATATAAATCACAAAGTAAGAGGGCAGAAGGAAATTCTAAGATGTTTGGATATATTTTATTTTATTTTTTAATTAGTTTATTTATTTTTGGCTGCATTGGGTCTTCATTGCTGTGTGCAGGCTTTCTCTAGTTGTGGAAAGCGGAGGTTGCTCTTCATTGCAGTGCACAGGCTTCTCACTGCAGTGGCTTCTCTTGTTGAGGAGCATGGGCTCTAGGTGCATGGGCTTCAGTAATTGTGGCACGCAGGCTCAGTAGTTGTGGCGTGTGAGCTTAGTTGCTCCACGGCATGTGGCTTCTTTCCAGACCAGGACTCAAACCTGGCTTCCCTGAATTGGCAGGTGGATTCTTAACCACTGTACCACCAGGAAGGTCCCAGGATATATTTTATTTATAATAATAAACCTAAGTAGCCCATATCAAAAGAAACACTCACAATAAACAAAAATACACACTAGCAAACTACAAATGATTTATAAACACATTTGTATATAACACAATGACCCACATAATATAAAATATGAGAACAACTGTCATTCCTCTTTTATACATTTGGAAATTTTTAAAAAAATCTCCTTAATAATTCAAGGACAAAAAAAATCATGATGGGTTACAAAATATTTGCAACTAAATGGCAATGGAAACACAAGATTTCAAGACTTGGTGAATGTATTAATGCAGCATTTAA